TATATATATATATATATATATATATATATATATTGTCACATCTTTTTGATTTACTTCTCACCTTGGGGAGTTCATATATTAGTAACGGCAAAGGAATGATGGTCTTCATTGCCTTGATTTATATTGTTGAATGCAAACAATATTTTAAACTTGTCTAAAATATTTAACGCGGAGAAATGTAAAACAGTTTTACAATTCTAAATACTATAAACAGGCCTCTTAGAAAACTTTTAGTGTTTTTAATCAAAATCCCGAGTTACATAATTGCAATTAATAACCACATTTAACTAGTACTTAGGAAGATTTTGTGTTCATAATGGTAAGGAAACTTTAGAGTGGGAACTTCATTTTAGTTAGCAAGAGTGTACACTCTGCAGAAAGACGTAGCTGGATTGAACTGCGATGTAACAGATCATGCAAATTAAAGTAAACGCACCTTCGTTCTTGGCAATCGCCGAATAATCACAGAATATAATTACTTTTAAACACTGCGACTAGCATGAAATCTAAAATTTTACACAAACGCTTGTTTAATCATCGAAATCTTCAAACTTTATTTATTTATATCAAATGGAATGTGTTTTTGATAGTTATCTTTAGCCCTTTAGTTGACTTCAGGCTTCCCAAAGGGGAAGGAACATCAAAATGAAAAAGTTGAAAGAGGGGGGGGGGCAGAAGAGTGTTTCAAAGATGTAAAAGAGACAGACACAAAGGTAGAAAAAAAATGTGGAGTGAGTACTGTGTAAGTGGTCGAATGACATACAGTGGGGTGATGGTAGTTTGAAGTTAAAAGTCAACTGCCAGTTAATAGACTTTTTTGCCGTATGAAAGTTAAAAGTCAACTGCCAGTTAATAGACTTTTTTGCCGTATGAGTGTGCACCATGTTGAGGTAAGTCTATCGCACACCCCACTAATTCAAATTAATTTCTATATGAAATTTTATTCCGACTATATCTATATGTGCCTTAAATAAATAGTAATTTGAATGGTATTTATAAGTACATCAATTTTAAATCAGTATACTTTCTTAATTCTAAGAATTTGCTGCCCAATTTGATATTTACGTATGAATTATAAGTATTAAACAAGTTAAGAGAGAATATTTTATTAACTAAATAAAGTGCTTTTTATACTATAATAGGACAACTTCTTTTAACAATAATTTCTATTTTAATATCTTAGCTATCCAATATTTGCAATGAGTATGGACAAACGCAAAATCTATTCCAATCATTATGGTAAAGTTAATCTTGACATATCGTGAACATACATTGCTTTTATCACCTTTTTAATCGCTTTTACTAGTGTATAGTAGAAATTAAATGCTTGTTGCGCCTTCATTATTGATTCTTTATTATATTTTGAGCTAACTCCAGTGATCTTATTTAGGTTTAAATGGAGACCATTAAATCAAGATTTCATGGCCAAACATGAAATTAAATCAGCAAGTTTCGCTTATAGACGTCTAATTTCTTCCATTTACCTTGGTGTCAGATATGGGGATTTGATAACCAGAACGCACAAGCAATAACTGCTATCAGTAAGAAAATTCGGACAACTTAATGTTTTCAGAATAAGAGCAAAGTACAACTGTTGGATCCTTAAATCAGTATCCACTTTCTCTTGAAATCTGCTTTTGTTGTAGTTGAAAAGATTTCACCAAACGTTAACAATCCAAATCTGGCAATAGTTAATTTTGTTGAGATTGAATATAATTAAATCTTAAAAGGGAAAATAGCGACGTAATCACAAAAACGATTGCCATCAAAATCGGTGCCTCTTAGTGCAAATCCTCCATAGTTATATAAACCACAATAGTTAGGAGCTGCAAAGAAGGTTATAACCTTTCCATCGTGGTCTTCTTTCTTGCCCTTCGGACAGTACTCATGTGCACGCATAACTTTTTCAAAATCAAACCTTGCTAGAAATCTGTCTGTGACTGAGTGCCCGAAATTCTCGACGTCACCTCCTCTTTGTCGGTTAGGACTGAAACCAACTGAACGTATGCCATGTTTGTCTGGTTTTGGGTCTGACCAAAGCAGACCATGTACAAATGAAGATTCATTAACATCTATTGGTCTTTGGATGGGTTCAAAAAATTGTCGAATATGAGTTATTCCATGAGCAAATAGTTCCCGGCATAGCCCACCATGTACGCAGAAGTCTTTTTTATCTATAGTTGCAGCTATGGGTAGATAATTGAATACGTCCACAAAAGTCGCAAATAATTCTGCATTGTATCTTTTTAGCACTTCAGCTCGAAAACCAAATCTAGAGCAGAGCAATTCTTCTTCATGATTTCCACGAAGCAAATGATATTGTTCCGGATTTAGGGCCTTGAGAACAAAGAGTAATGTTATAACTTCAATCGACTGAGGACCACGATCCACATAGTCACCGAGAAAAAGAAAAGCGAAGTTGGTTTCTTTAATTACATCAAAAATACGCAGTAGATCATGAAATTGGCCATGAATGTCGCCAACAATATGGATTGGTGATTGTAGTTCTAGTAGAACTGGTTCAGACTGAAATATTGGCTTTATTATTCCGCAAACTCGTTCAATCTCTTCTTGTGTCATTTTGATATACTCTCCACGTCTACCGAGACCGGCCAGTAATCGATCTTTCATTCTCGACAGAAATGGCCCATCACTATCAGGACTTCGGGATTTACCTATCGGAACTTCCTCTTTTTCCATTTTGCATCATTTATGAACACATTCATCACGCTGTATGAAATTTAAATTTGACAAAATCAATAGTGTGTGTGTGTGTGTGTAGAAAGTGTGGTCTGAAGAAATACTTATATAAATGACATTAAAGAATATGAAGGATAGAAAGATAAAACAAATGGGCAAAAAAGAGGAAACGATCATATTAACTAGATTATCATTATCTTCTCCTACAACCCGAGGCCTAATGTTCGGTTAGCTTATGGTTAGTTCATTTCCCTAGCCTAAAATTATTCTTCTTGGTTTTGTGGTTTCAAATCTGATTGAAGAAGTTAATGGCCCTTTGCAGTGGCAATTTGCCTGGTTACGACTGACATAATTTCTGCTCATTTCCTTAACAGTACAGAATGGAAATTGGAAAGGACCAAACTGAACGCGAAAAAACATTTGGCACAGTAGAGGCTATTACGCAAAATAAATATATGAAGGAGAAGAGCAAAATGGGAAAATTTTCAGTTTGCGTTACGGGGTGACGGAATCTATATCCGATAGGAAGCAAATAAGAGTAAGAATGGTGCTCATGATTTCTTACATGCGAAAACCATTAATTTTTACAGAATACTTGTGATTATGCTTTACTACTACTAGACTGATGATTTTACACACACACAGAGGGAGGGAGAGAGTACATGTTTAGTAAATTTCGTGCCTTTCAATGGGGAAAAGGAAACACGCTTCTTTATTGATCGAAGGACTTCGAAATCGTCGGTGGTGGTGGCATGGTGCATACGATAGGAGAACTATGGCCGAAGGAAGTGTCCCAGTGGGCACAGAACGGAAGGAAGAAGATCAAGCTACCTTTCTAAATCGACTAAAGGGTGAACTCGAAAATGGTTTCAATACACCAGGAGCGGAAATAAAACTAACTTATTTTGAAGTTGTTCGAGTTTGTGATATTGTGAAGGAAATATTCAGCAGTGAACCTCTAATTCTGGAAATTCAGTCGCCAGTTTATGTAATGGGCGACATACACGGACAATTTTATGATCTTCTGCGAATCTTTAGTCAGATTGGCTCCACTGATAATCGATTTCTTTTTCTAGGTGACTATGTAGATCGTGGACCTCAAGCTATCGAAGTTGTTATGTACCTATTTATACTTAAAGTGCTCAATCCAAACAAATATTTTCTACTGCGAGGTAATCATGAAGATCTCCATCTGAGTATAAAATATGGATTCGAATTGGAAGTGAGACGCAAATTTAATGATCCCACATGCTTTTTTGACACCATTGATGTTTTCAATGTTATGCCCATTTCTGCATTAATTGATGGACGTATTTTCTGTGTTCACGGAGGACTTAGTGAGGAGTTTATTAAAAGGGATTTTGATTGCATCCATGGGGCCTATATGCCTATTCCTCGGCCAACAAGCGTATCAGAATTCTCCTTTGTTCGAGATCTGCTCTGGGCAGATCCTGTTCCAGACGACAAGGGAACAGCTGACACGTTATTTATTCCAAATCCCTCAAGAGGAAAATCAATGGTGGCCTTTGGAAAAGCTGCCACTGAGTGCTTTTTCTCCAAATTCGGTTTGAAAAGAATCCTGAGAGGTCATGAATTTTGTCCCACGGGGATTAAATATGATCATATGAACAAGTGCATTACCGTTTTTTCAGCTCCTAATTATCATAACACAAAAACTCCAGCTGCCTATATATTGACAAGCAGCCCCGACGGTAATGACATTAAATTTGAAATTATGACAATTTCTCCTTCCCAGTCCCAATCTTAGCTTCAGGAACTACCCTTTGTCTATTTTGTATAGGCCTAGTTTGAATAAATGTATTTTATTTAAATAAAATACAATTTCAGTTAGATTTGTGAGCGTTCAACTACCATCCATGATTAAAAATGGTTTAAAATTAGCAAACTATAGTCATTATTCATTTGTAAAATGCTAGGAATTTCCAATTATAAGCCAATATTATTATTTTGCTAGGTTTAATTAAGGTTTTCAAAAATGCACACCATTCCCTTGAAATAGATAGTGAAAGTTAGAAGAAGAACTCATTTTAAATGCGTGAATACTATTCTTTTGTTTCTTTTACATAATCTCAAAAATTCTCCTCCCCCCAAATCATCAAGAAAGAAAGTGTCTTTATACTCTAATCAATCCCTTTGCCTTAGGGATCTGCTTTACACGTTTTTAACCAACCCGCCTAAAAAGACTTTAGGGAACTTGTTGCAGACCTTTAAACAGGACTGAGATCTAATCAAATGTAGAGGCAGTTGAAAATAAGTAACGTATCATTAGCTGCAATATACTAAACTTAAAATCTTAATAACTACACGGTCAGGAATACCCAATACTTATAATTTTAATACATACTACGATAAATAAGATTAAGATATGCCATTGATTTAAACTAGATGGGAATGCAACGAATTAAAAATTCACCACATAAATTTAATGCATAAAACTTATGCACATCGGAACGCACTGAAATTGGTAAATTTTGAAATAAATATTTTACAAACATAAGGCTAGTTGCATACTCCAATGTACAAGTTTAAAGTGGTGAGCATAACCTTTATAGTACCCATACCCAAGTAGTCCAGCTTGATACAGCTTTTATAGAATCAAATTGGTCTTGAATTACCGACATTATTGGTATATTTATGAAATACTAATGAAAAAAATTTAAAACACCTTATTATATAGCAAATAAGTAATAGGATACTAAGGTCATCTTCCACAAAACTACCGCGTGCGCATTTCGAGTTCTATTTACTTAGCCCGGTAGATCATAACGCATTTCATATTTATGATTGATTTGATGTAATGTTTGGGGATATCAGTCGATATTTCCGGGGTTTGTTATTACAATTTAAGAAATTTCAAATTAGACACAGTGATAAGTCCTATTCCTCAAAATAATGAAGAATCAGACTCGAAGGTGAGATGATTTGTTATTAACCTAAAAAGTCACGGTTATTACTAATAGGTCATGTTGTTGACGAAATTTCTTCATGGGTGTTATCTTGTCTGATATTAATGCAATAATGACCACCTTGATTTTTTGTTTTTTATTTAGAATAATGGTTTGGCCTTAAATGAAATTATACAATCCACAGATATAGGGGTCGATCCAGTATTTGTACAACAAAGCAAAAGTCATTGGATACCCGATAGCCATTGTCAGGAATGTTTTGAGTGCGGAAAAAGATTCACTTCTTTTACAAGGCGCCACCATTGTCGATTTTGTGGACGAATATTCTGTTCAAGGTGTAGTTCTCACGTATGTATTTTCTTTTTTCCTCTATTTTTTGAAAGTAGAAAATATGTTCACTTTTGGTTTTTTAAAGCTTCGTGACGGATCTTCTATTGGCATTTCTGGACCTCAACGAGCCTGTGGTTTCTGTGCAAGTAATCACGAAATGTCAACTTCCGGAAAAGCTGAGGATACCGATGACGAGGATTCGGTAGACCCAAAGCAATCTAATCAAGATGATCCGGTCCACATGTCTGGTACTTTTGTGGCCACGTCAGATTACTCATTCTCCTCTTTCCACTCAGAGTCAGAAAATCAACCGCAGCGTCAGCATCAATCAACGGATAGAGCTTTTTGCTCTTGTCATCCTTGTCATGATTTCCCCCGACAATCAATTAAAAATTTCTTCCCCACTGTAAATAACAATCTTTCAACTCCTCGAAAGCTGGCGAGTTTCATATCTGTAGACTGCCGCCATTCCCTTCCCGACAGACAGACCTTTTTCTTTCTCTGGTTCAAACTGACTTCCTCTCAGTCTCTTAATTTGGCAAATATTGATGATGCAAAGTCTCAGTTGAATTCATTTTTCTCCAAAAATAGAAGTTATCCAATGAGATCAAGTGGCATTGATGATGACACTTCTTTAGCTGATCAGAAATCCGATTATCTGGAAACGGTTATGGTTGGTGCTGAAAAATGCTCCACAGGACAACACATTATTGATTGGCTTGTTTCAAACTCAGGGGGAAAGATAGATTCAAGGTTAATTGTCACTCGCATTCGTCTCCTATTTATTATAATACCTTTCTAACTTTTTATACTTTCTATATTTTTTCTTCAGAGAAAAGGCTTTTGCACTATGTGAAGCCTATCTAAAAGCATCATTCCTCAGGCCTCTGAATAACAGAAAATCTCCTTGGAAGTTTATCGATGGACCCGAACTCTATCGAATTTGTGAAGACGTGAGTGCATTTGATAATCTTTTGTGAAACGCACTCCAAAATATGTGAAGTTGAATACGTACCTGAAGCTTGGTTGTCAACTCAATAATGTCTGAGAGTGAAGCGTTGTGGAAAAAGAATAGAGGAGAGAATCTATTGGCTTTAATATTATGAGAAGTGGTCCTTTTGATCTGTTCCCACTATTTTCTAATCATTTCTAACTTATAGTCGTCCAGATCCCAAGGAATAGTAGATTGCATGTAGACCTACGAAAGTCATACCCTTCCCCCTATTTTCTCTGATATTCAAATCAAAAGGGATTATTTGCAAATTTACGCTTGTTATTAAGAATTTTTTTCATATGGATACTTTTTTTTACTTCAATTCTGGAATTTAAATTTTACATAGGCATTTTTGTAGCTGAGTTTTCGCTGAGTGACAAATGCTGATGTCATGTAATTCTTAGGGATAATATCAACTGGAGTTATCTTGAAACCAGGACAAATGTTCTACATTTTACAACCAGCTTACCTTTTTTAAACTTTATTTATTAACTGCTGTTAAAATTGCGTCTTTAAAGAAACCATTTTTCTAACGTTTTTTGTAACGCTTTTCTTTCACGAACTGCTGTTTTCTTTTTAACTCTGAGTAAAGAACATATTCGTTACTACCACGTACCACAGTTTCTTATGGTAAAAATGCGTTTTTATTATTTAATCGGGAGCCAAAAAGGTGGAATACATTGCAGATCGTTTAATCCCACACTGAAAGCTGATGGTGAATGACTCTGCTGATTTTGTATAGTATTGGCCAATAAAAATTTCGTCAGGCTCCTTGAAATATAGTATTTCATGTTCGTAGGGTACTTGATAACGTCAGAATTAATCTAAGAAATAATTTCTAAAATATTAGACCATGTGCAATCTGGATTCCAAGATCCAACTTTGTAAGGCTATTTATCCACTGACTTTAATCCTATTTGACAGCTTTTCAGGCTAGAATGCCTAATCAAATCTTCTCAGCGTCCGAGGGTGAATTCAGCAAGAGTGCAATTGTAAATTCCTCTTTTATTCACCGATCTATCGATTTTTAGTTTTCTATACTCGGACTTGCCTATGCAAGATCGCCATGAAGAAATTCTAGAAGAGACTTATCGAAGCTAAGTTCAACCTTAGGTTACAATTGCTATCACTAAAACATCCAGGCAATAGTACTTGATGTGTTTCTCGAGCTTTGTGTTAACCATTGTTCATTTAGCGGTGTTGATCGATGGATATTGAAGGAATTTTACCATGTGTTAAATGCGTAAACATGCATTAGAAATTCGTCGTGCAACGGAAATGCTAGCTTACATTTGGATACTAAAAATGTCTCCTTGCTTCTATTTACCAGATGGATGATAGTTCGCTGTTGCCGAAATCAACACAATCGATGGATAATCTCATCAGACGCAATTCTTTATTGTCTGAATCTATTTCCCTCTCCCACATCGATGAGGAACTTTCCCAAAGAGATACAGGGCGAAGCCTATCAACTTTTGCATTAAATCGGCCTTTGCTTGAAAATCTGGAAATAAATTCACCACAAAAGAAGGAGCCAATAGTGGCTTCAAATTTCACCACTTTAAATTCGAAGTAAATTGTAGTATTATGTACTTCATAATAACACATTTCTCGCTTAGAACAGTCTATACGGATTATCTGGAAAAGTTGATCCAACAGGAAACAAGGGATAATTGTCTCTGGGGTGATTGGAAATCCCTGATAGGGGAAACTGTCCAACTACTCTGTGATGTCCTCCATCTTGATCTGCGAAAAATTTTGGCGAAAAATCTCCAAAAGCTACGAGAGCAACAAGAGGAGAGCCCAAGACAGCATTGCTCCTTAATTGAGAATAAGGAGCTGCAGGATTTTTTCCGATCGAAATATTCGGCTATGCATATTTTGAGATATGTGCATGTTAAAAAGGTAGGATTCCAATTATTTCCCCTCTCTATCTTCTCGTTTCTATTTTTACCAACACTTCATCTAGTAGCGAGAAATGATGATGATGATAGCGGTGTTCAGAGTTACTTTTACTTTTAGAATAATCAATAATTGTAGTCCAATGCTAGCGTAGTGATGGGTCTCCGTATTTTCTTTTTTTTCCTTAATTTTAAAAACGGCATGTTTATAACTTCTTCACAGGTGTTGGATCACTCTGAATCTGTTCAAATCCTCAATGGACTAGCTTTTACGGGCCATTTGATTAACAAGCATCTGCCAACTCAATTTTTCCAACCCAGAATTCTGATGTTAGGTTCCTCTATCACCTATGAACGCAATATCTACAGACGCACTTATCTTGGCTCTTATGCTGCTCAAGTAAGCCCTCGCTTCTGGCCTTTCTCATTCAACATTCTCTCTCTCTCTCTCTCTCTTAGGAGGAGGAATACTTAGGAAATTGTGTAACAAAAATCCTATCTCTTCGACCTACAGTAATTCTAGTTGAAGGTGGAATTGCAAATATTGCTATGAGTATGCTTGTCAAATCGGGGATTGCAATATTCTGTAATGTGAAAAAGGTGAGTTATACTAAATCGGCTTATTTATTTGCACGCTCCATTGTAAACTGTCAAACGTTGAGAATGCTTTCATAAAGTTTTATACAACATTACAGTGGTTTGTGTACTTGTGCTTTAATGTGAAAGAGAATAAAATCTTTGGGGTTTATGAATTTAGCCTAAAATTGTTAAAGATGAAAGGAAGCGGTGATGTTGCCACAATTGCCACTATGCACTGACGTGTGTGTATCTCATGCCCTAGGACCGTGTCCATCCACTCAATTTGGCACATTTTAACAACTATGCAACTTTAAAACTAATTAAAAATCAATTTGCAAATTTAATTTAATTTTTATCCTTTAGCAAATTAAATTATTATTTATATTTAACTACAGGCTTTGTGATAGTAATCATTAGTCCTTTAGTTGACAGTGGAGAGTCACAAAGTCACAAAAAGTGGAGAGGGGGGGGGGACAGAAGAGTGCTTCACAGATGTAAAAGAGACAAACAGACACAAAGGTAGAGAAAAAGGTAAACTGAGGTGAGTACTGCGGGAGTGGTCGAATATGCCACACAGTCAGTTCATGGTAATTTAAAGGCAACTGCCTTTAAATTAAAATAAATAAAATAAAATCCACTTTAAAATAATAATAGGTGGATCAAATCCTTGGGTCCACAAACACCGCCATTATATGCATCACAATTACTATTCTTCTATACCTTTTCTAGGCTATCATGTTTCGAGTGGCTGCTTCAACCGGTGCAGCAATTGTAAACTCGATTGATGCACTGTTGAGTGGGAACTTCGATGACTCTTGTATTGGGACATGTCGATGGTAC